TATTCCTCTACTAGGAATATACCCCAAGAAAATTAGAACTAAGACACAAATGGAGATTTGTATATCAGTATTCATAGCAGTTTTATTCACCATCACAAGAACATGAAAACAACCACAACCAAATGGATTGAGAAATTGTGGTACATTCGTACAATGAAATATTATGCAGCACTCAGGAGCAACAGTTTCTAAAAAATACTACTTAATTTGAGAGAGACTGGAGAAACCTTATGCTGAGTGAACTAATGCAATCTCTTAAGGACAAATACTGTCTAAAACAATTATTGTAAAAATAGAAGGATAACTAGTAAAACATGTATGGGAACCCAAGGAGGGAGAAATATTGCTAGAATTGCAAGCAGGTTCTTGTGGTCTGCCAGGAGTTTCTTCCTAACAACAAGCCCAAAGTTAAGTGAGACAAAGTCTTACCATCTTTTCTTCTAAGAGGCACTCTGGTTGCACTTCCTTCAGGACAGGTTTTATTTGTTCCCTTGGCAGGCTAAGGGATAGTTGATACTCTTTGCCAACACCACAGTTCAAGGATGTTGATTCTTCTTCTGCAATCTTTATTCATTGTCCATTTTCAGTGTAGGAAGCAATTGAAAAGACCATGACTTGAATCTGACACATCTTAATCTTTAAACTAGCATCCTTTCTCTTTACCATTTTGGTTTTTTGAGGTTCTTTTCCTTTACTTTTTAAAATGTATTGTTGCATATTTTCTTCTCCTCATTTTTCTCCTCCTCCCATAACCCACCCCCAAATGCACCCCGTATTCCATCCAGGTTATTGTCATATATATAGTGCATAATCATGTATTCCTTTGGACAGTACTTCCCTTCATCTGTTTTAGTGCAGTGTTCATTATCTATCCACTATTTCTCCATTCTCTCCTCAACCCACTCATTCATGTTTGTCCTATTTTACAACAACAGTGTTATGCAGTATTTGTCCTTTTTGACAGAAATATTTCACTCAGCATAATGTCCTTAAGGCTTTACCATGTTGTGTAATATTTTACTACTTCATTGTTCTTCAATGCTGCACAAAATTCCATTGTCTGAATATTGTTGCTGTTATGTGCCATCAAATTGCCTGAAACTCATAGTGACCCTATATACAACAGCTCTGAAATCTGCCCTATCCTGAGCCAGTCGTACTGACTCCAACACACCTACCCCCATTATTCCAGTTACTGTATAAATTTATCTCATCTGGGGTCTTCCTCTTCTGCACTTTCCCTCCACCCTTCCAAGCATGATGACATTCTTCAAGGACCAGTCCCTCCTGGCCACGTGCCCCAAGTATGTGAGATGAAGCTTCAAAACCCTAGCCTCCAAGGAGAAACTTGATTTCACCCTCTCCAAGACAGACTTACTTGTTTTCTTGATGGTCCAGAGTGTGTTCAAGACTCTTTTCTAGCATCACAACTCAAGGGCATCAATTTTTCTTCTGTCATTCTTAGTCATTGTCCAACTCTCTGATGCAGAGCAAGTAATAGCGCAGACCATGCTCCGGATCAGGTACACATTAGTCTTTAGACTGACATCATTGCTTCTCAATATTCTGGAGAGGTCCCTGATAGCACATTTTCCCAGTTCAGTTCTTGTTTTAATTTCCTGATAGTTGGTATTTGATTGTGGAGCCAAGCAAGCTGAAAGTGTTAACAACCTCAATCTCTTCTTCATCTATCATGGTGTAGCCCAGTGGTGAAAATCTTTGTTTTCTTGATTTTGATCTTCAATCCACATTGAAGACTACAGTCCTTTACCTTCTGCAGGAAGCACTTCAGGTCCTCCTCAGTTTCAGCAAGCAAGGTTGTGTCATCTGCATAATGCAGACTGTTGATGAGTCATCCTTCAATCCCGATGCCACATTCCTCCTCACATAGCCCAGCTTCCTAAATAATCTGTTCTGCATATAGATTGAAAAGGTATGGAGACAGGACACATCCCTGATGCACTCCTATCCTGATTTTGAACCATGCAGTGTTTCCTTGCTCTGTTCTGAAGACTGCTTCTTGGTTTGAGTATAGGTTTCGCATGAGCACAAATCAGGTGTTCTGAGATTCCCATTCTCCTTAAGGTTAGCCACAGTCTGTTGTGATCCACACAGTCAAATGCTTTCGGTTCCTTCCATCTCTTTGTTATTGAAAATAATGCATCAATAAACATGGGTGTGCACACATCTGTTTGAATTGTGGCTCTGGTTTCTTTAGGGTGTATTTCCAGTCATCAAATTGCTGGGTCACATGATATTTCTATTTTTAACTTTTTGAGAAAGTGCCAGACCACCTTCCATAGTTGTACCATTTTACATTCCCACCAGCAGTAAGTAAGAGTTCCAGTCTCTGCACAACCTCGCCAGCATTTGATGTTTGCTGCCATGTTGAACTTTGCTATGGTTGCTGGGTCTCTTTAGCCCTTTGCACCGTTAGTCAGTTGTGGCATTTGTTTCTCTCTACATTTCTTATTGTTTTGTCCTGTCTTATTTGTAAAATGTAAAGAATATAATAAATTGTAAAACTCTTCTATGAAAATTATATATTTAAGCAATAACAATAATAAGCTCACATATAAAAACTAAAACCTTAAAAAACTCTATTTACAGATAGCAACTATAAGTCCAGCTGACATCTGCTATGAGGAGACTTTATCAACACTGAGATATGCTGAACGGTATATGTGTGAACATTTTTTAAAATTAATCCATTCCATATGGTTTTTCATGCATTCATAGACATTTTGTTTTATAACATTACCATTGACTGATTAAGTAATTGCAATGTCTAATCAACTCCTTCTTATTGCCTTTCCTTTCATCCAACTTAGCATTATTAATCTGTATTCTCCTAACTTTCTCTTCCTACCCCTGTTAAACTTCCAATACTGATTCTATCTGTGTGTAAACCTTTCAGTAGCATCTTATATAAGTGGTCCTATGCTATAATTGTCCTTTTGTGACTGACTTATTTCACTCAGCACAATTTGTTCTAGAATTACCCATGCTGTGCAATATTTCATGAATTCTTGGAGGTTTTTTAGTGATGCATAGTACTCCATAGTGTGACAGTATCATCATTTTCTTTATATACTCATCTCTTGGTGGACACTTGGGCTCTTTCCTATTCTTTGCTATTGAAAACAAGGCTGCCAGAGTCACGGGTGTGCATATATCAGTTTGTGTCCTGGCACTTATTTCTTTGGATATTTATCTACCTTTAAGATGTTTGGATGGGTGGAGGGTCAGCACAGGAGAGGAAGATCCTGAATGAGATTAATTGACTCAGTGACTCGGGTAATGGGGATAGGTGTTTGGAGACAATGAAATTGGCTCATGATAGAGCAGGCTTCAGAGCTGTTGTGCGTAGGGTTGCTATGAGTTGCAAGTGACTCGATGGCACATAACAACAAAGAGAACTCTTGTGGCCTAGAGGTAAGAAATTGCATTGCTAATCCAAAGGCAGGCAGTTCCAGTCCACTTGCTCATCTGAGGGGGGAAAGATGGACAGTCTCCTCCTGTGTAACTGACAGTCTCTGCAAACCCACTGAAGGGCCAGCTATGAGCATGACTTGACAGTACACAACACTAACCAATGATCTTCAGCATTTCTTCAGGAGCTGGTTGGCCATCTGAGTGTCTTCTTGGATGAAGCATCCACTCATGTCCTTTTTATCATTTAGTAAGTGGGTTGTTTGTCCTTTTCTTGTAGAGATTTTTGAGTTTTCCTCTAAATTTAGAGATATTTCCCTTGTCAAATGGCTCAATGCCAAATTTTTTTTTCAAGTCTCTTGGTTCTCTTTTTACTCTTGTGAAGAAGTCTTTAAATGCATGTATGTGGACATCATTTTTAGAAGGTCCCAACTGCCTGTTTTATCCTCTAGAGCTTGTCTATCCAGTTAACCAACACTAAGATATGCTGAGAGGTGCTTTTAGGAACATTTCTTTTCCACAGTGCTTCAATGTTTGAACACTAACAGAATCTTCTAGTATTTGTATGTCTGTCAGGTTGGGAGGTAGAACAATATAATTGCTGAGAAGAGAGTGACAGAAAGTAAAGCAAATCAGAGAGGGGGCTGGAGAAGCAGCGCCTTTCCAAGCTCATCATCTTCATCGAAGTCCTAGTGGGAGAGGCTGATGGGCTCCCATCCTTGGGAGAGGTGGGTGCTGTGCCAATCCTGACACAGCCAGTTAACTGTCTCTGTCTTTTCCTACCAAATTGTATAGTCACTTGCAGACTTATGCAGACATTAGGGCACAGAAGGAGGACAGTATTGGCACAGGAATGTCATCTGACCAATGGGTGAAGCTGGCCTATGTATGTGGCAGCTCCTAAAGCTCTGGACTGTTCTGCTGCCTCTAGTTACTGCACCCTGTGATGACAAGCAAACCTATCCCACTGCTGAAGAGTCGGTTCCAACCCCGGGCAACCGCTGTGTGCAGAAGAGAGAGCATGGCAGAGTTCACGTGGAGTTACACTGCTGAGCTAAAGGCAGTACTTCTCTGGTGGTTCAAATCTACCAGTGGCTCCATGGGACAAAGATGAGCAGGCTCTGATCATGTGATTTGTGGTTAGTGCTACGTGCTTTGTGGAGTCAAGTACAACTCATAGAGACCATGTGAACAACATCTCCATACCCTGCTCTGTCCTGTGTCATCTCTGATATACTTGAGCCCGTTGTTACGGTCACTGTGTCAATCTATCTCATTGAGAGTCTTCCTCTCTTTCCTTGTCCCTCCATGTTTACAAGCATGATATCCTTTTCCAAAGACTGGCCCCTCCTAACAATATGCCAAAAAATATTTGAGATAAAATTTTACCATCCTGACCTCTAAAGTGCTGGATAAAAGTAGTGATTGGCAGCATCATGATAGATGGTGAAGAGGTTGAGATTGTTAGCAGCTTTAGTTTACTTGGCTCCACAAGCAATATTCTTGGTATCAGCAGCCAGGAAATCAAGAGACGAATTACATTGTGAAAGTCTACTATCAGAGACCTCTCCAAAGTACAACGACATCAGTCTGGAGAATAAGGTTGCCTGATCCAGGCTATAGTCTTTGCAATTACTTGCTATGCATAAGAGAACTGGACAATGACTAGGGATGATAGGAGAATTGATGCCTTTGAGCTATGGTGCTGGAGAAGAATGTGGTATATACCATGGACTGCCAGGAGAACAAACAGGTTCATTCCAAAGAGAATGAGACCAGGCTGCTCCTTGGAGGCAAGGATTCTGCAGCTTAGTCTGACATGCTTTGGGCATGTTGTAAGGAGGGACCAGTCCTTGGAGAAGGATGTCATGCTTGGAAGGGTTGAAGGACAAAGAAAGAGAGGAGGACCATCAATGAGATGGACTGATTCAGTGACTTG